CGCCACATTGCGCCAGGTGTATGATAGGGCCCATTGACTTAAAATCAATAATTAAAGTCAATTAATGCTCTTGTTTTAAAAATTATTAATAATACAAAATTTAAATGTATTGAAATTTCACCAATTTGAAATGTATGTAACTGTAAATGAAACTTTTGGGTTGCAATTTAATATTATCATAAGTATTTTAACCCAAATTATTTCACGTTGTCTAACCCAGTACTTAGTTAATTCTTTAGGTAAGTACACTCTAAGTACCACACATTAACATTAAAATAAAGTGTAACCCAGATTTGCACCCAGTTTTCCCTATAATTTCAGATTCAGTTCAAATTCAACAGCTGGTTTGATATACAAATGAATGTCTTCAGCTTTGACTCACACACAGCCCTGCCATGTGCTAATCTTTAAGATTCTTTCGAATTTCAGATTGTACTGTACTGGGGAGGTCATTTAAGGTTAGATTTCTGTTTTTAATGAAACCTGAATAAAATGATATGTATCAAAGGATCAACTTCAATTACCTTCTCCATCAGTTTGCAGTTTCATTTAGCCACACATGATTGATTATAAGGGCTAGATTAAAACTCGATCTTGAACCCATCTCATCACTTTGAGATATAATAATAGTTTTACATTATGCCTTTACCTTTTTATTATTAAGATTAAGGTCTCTATTTGAATATAGTTTTTTAAATTCTCTTTAAAAAATATACCAAGAACAAATGGGTGCTCCTAGAAGGGGGGAAAGTGGGTTGATTCCCAGAGCCAAGTTACGAATGGCCTCTAAAGTTTCCTCCCTGTTCCTGTCAGGTAGTTATTGTTAGTTATCACACCAACAAATTAAAGGCAACACATGTGCTGCATACTCTTACAACAATACCGAATGCTTAGACATGCTGCAAATGTTACAAGAGCATCCCAAACAAACACACTCTAACTCCTGATCTTAGACATACCTGTGCAATTGTTGAGCTTGAATGAATCAGCAGCTTTGAACAAATCATTTAAATCTGTGTTTCTCAACCACGTTCACTGGAAACACCAGCACTGCACATTTTCCATGCCTGCTTAACCAAACAAACCCTGTTTCAGATCATCAGCTCATTAGCAAAGACTAAAAGACCTGTAATGGTGTGACAGACAAAGTTGACATCCAAAACATGCAGTGATGGTGATCCTCCAGGAACGTGGTTAAGAAACACTGATTTAAATGAATGATTAAATCATTAAGACTTGCTAAGTTTTTTTTTTTATATTTCTCCCCACAACATTTCTTTTTTTCATTACAATATTCATAAATGTTAAAGCTCCAATATCATGAAATAATTTATACAATTACAATTGCTGCATAAATACATTAATACCACCTGTAAGCAACATCAAACTATCAGCAGAAATGCACCTAAATATCATTACAGATTCACTTTCTATGAGAATTCCTGCAGTGCCTGGAATTGATTTTGTTTACACAGATTTAATTTGATCTGTAACAACCAAGAAATCTGCCTCGTTTAATTTACGTCAATTTATTCATGAAAATCTGATTCATTTTTGTAGATTTCACTTGTAAATTCACAGAACACTGGAAGATGTCGTGATCTGTGCAGTTATGAATGCACTATAATTCTAAAGCTTGCCCTAATAGTTTTCTTTGGATTGTTGGACAGAGACCAAACTTCATCAGTAGACAGAATCAACAGACTAGATTAAACTGTCATGAGGAGAGACCAGTGATGTGTTGAGAGTAGTTATGTGCTGTGAGAGACTAGAGATGTCTGTGATACGCTTCACTAAACAAAGTGTTTTTGTTGAAGTACACTGGCTATATTGTAACACACTCTTTTACTGGCATGGTGCAGTCACAACTAAACTCCTTTGCATTTAGAGCTGCAACCCATCTCTGGGAAGCATCCAACACACTCATTCGCACGCATACACTACGGACAATTTAGCCTACCCAATTCACCTGTACCGTATGTTTTTGGACTGTGGGGAAACCGGAGCACCTGGAGGAAACCCACACGAACGCAAGGAGAACATGCAAACTCCACACAGAAATGCCAACTGACCCAGCCAAGGCTCAAACCAGTGACTTTCTTGCTGTAAGGCAACAGCATTGCCTACTGCGCCACTGTGTAGCCATTATTATTATTATTATTATTATTTATTATTACTATTATTATTGTTATTATTATTATTATACATTATTATTAGTACTACTACTATTAGTAATTACTATTACTATTATTATTATTATTAATATTAGTAATATTATTACTAATATTAGTATTATTCTTTATTATACCTTATTATTATTAATATTAGTATTATTGCTATTATTATTGTTATTATTATTATTACACAATAATATTATTATTATAACTTATTATTATTATTATTATACCTTATTATTGTAACTATGCCTTATTATTATTATTATTATTATTATTATTATTATTATTATTATTATTAAACAATAATATTATTGTTTATTATTATCATTATTATTATTATTATTATTACTATTATTATTAGTATTACTAATATTATTTTATTATTATTATTATTATTATAACTATGCCTTATTATTATTAATATACCTAATTATTATTATACGTTATTATTCATATTACTATTATTATTATAAGTATTATTGTTATTATACCTTATTAATATTATTATTATACCTTATTATTATTATTATTGTTATTAATATTATACCTTATTATTATTATTATTATTATTATTATTATTGCTATTGTTATTATTATTATACCTTATTATTAATATTACATTTGTTATTATGATTATTACTGCTACTGTTAAAATTTGTAATTTTCTAATTTACTCATATATGCAGGTATCAGTTTGAATTAATATTGACTTAAAATATTTTATTAAACTGTAATTTTTAGAAAATAGTCAATTGCGCTGTGTGGGGGAAAAAACATGCCACATTGCCCTCTTGTGGTAGCAACAGCGTTTTAAAGGAGGTTCTAGCTTTTAATATATGTTATTGTTTCCTGCTGTGTTTTTTTTTTTCAAACCTTGACATTTCTGATCAAATCCCAGTCTGACCCATTTAATCACACTGTTATTGTCACTCTCGATGAAATGAATCAGATGTGTAGTCAAAACATGGCTTACCATGAGACATTACTGAAGAAGCAAATGCTAATCAGGGCTGTTTTGCTTTGGCTGATACATGAGAAAAAAGGTCATGATCCAAACAGAAGCGCCACTGAGACTCATTACATGTGGACTGACAGCCACAGTAAACCACAGCAAAGAAAGGCATTAACTGAATTTAATCAACCGTTCATTTGTCTCACATGCAAGAAAAAAAAGTCCCTGTTGCATTAAAAGCCTGTCATATCTGAACCGATGGGGGACATTTATGTAACTGTAAACGGTTTATTTTATTTTATTTATTTATTTTTGTCAGTTTACATTTTGTAATTTCTTTCTTACATTTGCAAAATTATTTCTTTAATTGTGTAACGGGGAGACTGACACGGAGGGATCTATTTTGCAGTATTTATTAGACACAGTTTAAACACAAACATCCAACACGCACTAAAGTGCGAACTCACATCAACAACAATCAATAAAGATCGTGGGGCTGGCAGCTGACAGAAACAGAGTGATTTACCAGGCATAGATCAGTGGCAGGCGGCGTGGTTCAGAGTCCTTATGACAAGCGTGGGTCGAAGGCAGGTAGCGTGGTTCACAGTCCGTGTAACAAGCGAGGGTCGAGGGCAGGCAGAAGGCAACTCAGAGTCAGAAACAATCCGGGGTAATGCACAGGAGATCAGGCAGGAAAGAGCGCTCAGTAATGCTGGCCGGGGCTGAACAAGACTTCGCACTGGACTGTGGTTTGAGTGTGGCTTATATAGGTAGCGTGGGTCATTACCGGGATTCAAATCAGGTGTGTGCACAATCAGTCTATGTGGATGATGTAATGCTAGAAGTTCGGGGATGGCGGCCTCTGCTGGCCAGCGAGGGGAATGACTGGGACGTGTCGGTGACAAATTGATTGATTGATTGATTGGTTGGTTTATTGATTGATTGATTGATTGGTTAATTTATTGAATGATTGATTGATTGATTGATTGATTGATTGATTGATTGATTGATTGATTGATTGATTGATTGATTGATTCATTTATTGATTGATTGATTGATTAATTTATTGATTGATTGATTTTTTTTTTTTTTGGTTCCTGCCCCCTGGTTAAAACTAAGCCACTAAACTACATTTCTCTGTTTGAAACAGTGAGAAATTGTTTTTATTTATTTATTTACTTATTTGGCTTGACACCACCACCACACACAGACATATAGACTCAAACAATACACTCAATACATATATGCACACATGATACACTCTATACATATGCACGGAGTGTATCATTTGTGTCTATACGTGTATTGTGTGCAAATGTATGAATAATAGAGTTTATTATTATGTATGGAGTGTATTGTTTGTATCTGTATGTATATGTGTATTATTTGTGGTATATGTATGTCTCTTATTGGCTTTTGTTAACTGGACCTCCCAACTTCCTGTAGCGCAGTGGTTAAGTCATTCGCCTTTGACGCCAGAGACCCGGGTTCTATCCTAGAGCCTTACATGTGTGTATATTGTAATATGTATAGAGTGTATCATCTGTGCATAAGCATAGAGTGTAATCTTTGTGTATGTATTTGTATCTATATGCATAGAGTGTATCATTCACTGGTTAAGTCATTCACCTTTCATGCCAGAGACCTGGGTTCAATCCCAGCGCCTAACATGAGTGTATATGTATCATGTGTGCATATGTAAAGAGTTCTTTTAAGCAAAGTAGAAAGTTGGGGTAGATGTTATCTGACTCAGTCACCTCTGTCCACCATGATGCTGCTCTATTTGTACTCCTCTTCTGTTCAATTTTAAATCCTAGATTTCCCTTTGCTGCTAAAGACTTTAAAGGGACAAGATTTTATCTGCTACTGTTGTCACTATCGGTGCCCTCACAAAGGCACTGACTTGGATGCTGCATGTGGTAAGTGCTATTTGTTGGGGTAGTTTCAAGTGACCTGTGCTACAAGAGAATGTTGTCTTTTGGAATTTACAGTGACATCTGCATCTAAAACACATTAAGATCACTTCAAACAGGAGAATTGATTTGTCCTATGTACATAAATGCTTTTCTTTGGGGTAGTTTTATTAAGGATATGAACAACAATCAAGACTGAACCCATTTTTTATGGAATTGCATTGTTTTCTATTACCTTTTTGTTTTTTGCTAGTTTTATGTCTTCTCATCTTACTTTATTCCAACAAGTAGGAGTAACATGGGGACGCTCTTTTGCATCTTCCTCATATTATAATTTCTTTGCCCTTGTGATAAACAACCAGTAGATGTCAACTCTAACTTTAGCATTGTTCTTTTAAGCAAAGTAGAAAGTGCTATCAATTTGGGGTAGATCATAGATATATACACTAGATATCGCCTAGGGACCCTGAGCATGCGTCAATAGCGCCACCACATTGGTACAGAGCTCCCAGGACAAATGTCATTCAACCGCACTAATCAAGACAGTGTTATTACGTGAAGAAGCGGGACTTTAGCGCTGTCTACGGGTGTAGTAACGACCAAACAAAGAAACAAAGCACAAAGGCAGAACAATTCATAGGTAATATTAAGTTTTTTTCTGTTTTTGTATGTTCTGAACTTTTGTGCTTATCAGGTCACGTTATTGATGATAACAGTCACTTACTGCATTCATCATAAGGCAAAGCAGCTCCAACTCGCACTAAACACTCGGCTTATGCTAGTTTTGTTGAATAAAATCAGCAAACAGTGCAAAAGAAATATGACAACGAGATGCGGCACTGCCAGAAACATGTATTATTGTGGGCTAAGTGAAGGAGTCGTTCATAACTGAGATTCATTTACAAACGAATCGCTCCCTCCGTCAGTAAGAGAAGTGAAAGCAGGAGAGGAGCTGTGTTTCAGGACACTGATTAGATCAAATTTAACAGGGAGGGTGGATAGTACATTTCTGTACACACAAACACAAGCTTTTTGTCAGGAATGCCCGTGCGGTCACTGATCCATCAATGTAGAAAAGTGATGTAAAATTATAATTTTCGTAATTAGAAAAAAAAAATTACATACTAACATCCAGGAAATCTCCCGATCATAAATATATGTGTATATGTGTATATCTCTGGCTTTGGATGGCCACAGTCCTCCACTGTACCTTGGTCCCGCATTAATTTCAAAGGAGCGCTACCCTGTTCCAACATGGCGGCTCTATTGACGCATTCCTTTCAATAGAAAACAACAGGGTAGGCGACATCTAATGTAATTATCTATGGGGGTAGATGTTTGCTGACTTAGTCGCCTCTGTTCACCATGATTCTGTTCTATTACTCCTTTTCTAATCAGTCCCTGCTGTAAAATCCAGCTTAAACCAGCCTAGGCTGGTTGGCTGGTTTTAGCTGGTCGACCAGGTTGGTTTTAGAGGGGTTTTGGCCACTTCAGGGCTGGTTTCCAGCCATTTCCAGCCTGGT